TAATAATTTTCCAATTTCCGGAAAAAGTATATTTCCGTGATGGATAAACAATTCAAGTATATTTCCGTCGTTGTCATATTTCAGTCTTGTGTGTTTATTTACATTACTTATATATTCATGTCGTACTAAAATTTAGCAATTATTTTTAAATTGTTGAAAATGTCACTAGTTTAAAGTTTTGGAGTATTTACAAAACTTATAAATTTTGTAATGTCAATTGATAGATCTCATGAATAAGTAATTTTCTATGTTTTGATTTACAAAAAGCATACGTCTTTCTACGACAGTGATAATTGATAGGGTTTGAACAAGTAATAGTTTACGTTTCAATATAAGCAAATTATTTAAGTTATATTCTACCTATTATGTTTATAAAAAAATTTGATCAAGGCAATGGTTTTGTGATGACATAAAGTTACAAGTTAATGATTTAAAAAAAATGTTATTTATGTCCCTATATCATGGGTAAAAACATTAGTGGAAAGATATTTATCCAATAATGGAATTGGTTCCTCCTAACTCAATACTTCCTTTCAAATTTTAAAGAAAATAATTTTAAATATCTTATGTTTTGTCATCACAATCAATAAGAGTTAAGTCAATATTCTCTTTCAAAAGTTGAATTGTATCTTTCACGTTATGTTTTTACTCATAGTAAATTATTAGTTGTCATTTCTAGAATCAAGACAAAAAAGAGACTAAAAATACTCATCTTAGACGAGTATGAATATGTATGAAGTATAATTAACTGCATTATCTACATTTTGAAATCTTTGAAAATGTTTTGGACAATACTCTATAACTTTTAATAACTCATTATTGTATTTGTAATTTATTTATTCAGTCGGTATATGTTTTTACTCAACCTAACTTTATATATCTATATTACAGGAAACTAAGTTTCATAAACTTCATCAATGTTTAAAAGTTGTTCAAAATTATTCTTAGTCACAATTATACCACGATAAAAGCTGAAATAAAATAAGTGTTCAAACTATCATTTTACAATGACATTTATATATTTATTTAAAAGGTTCCATTACAAATAATGTGTAATGGTTTTTTTCAAACATGTTACTCATTTTCTTTAACATATTAAAAAATGTAAAAAATGAATACATTTCATATGTCAAATCATTCTACAAAAGTAGTCAATGGTACTTCATTTTATTGTTTTAATAAACATGAATTTTTTTATTGTTACTATTACTTTAAATCATATTAATAGCATTATTACTTTAATTTAAATATACTTAATCAAAATTTCATATTAATATATGTTATAATACATCTAGTGCAATGCAATATACAAAACTGATATGAATAAAAGTAGTATCAACTAGAAAGATTTAATAGGCATTTTTTACATCAAATTAGGAGAGATGAAAAATTACTTTTACTCAATAAAATAATCGTATCGTATAGTAAATTGTTTTAAAGAACTTGTAGACTGTAAAAAAAAATATTATGATAATTATTAGTCTCTTATGTCTAAATTTAATCTAATATAATATTCCAGAATTAGACAATCCCTATATTATGCTGACGATATTTGTAATCTTACAATAGATTTTAATACATGGTATTCATAGATTGATGTTATTATTTGTATATTTAAATAGTTAATTATCCTTATTTTATTTTATATTTTGTGATCTTTTTATTATAGTGTTTTGACATATAAGTATATAATCCTTCCCAAACAAATGAAGCAAAACATGCATACAAAATTTATAATGGATATAAATTAAAAATAAAAGGTAAAACCGAAAGAACATAAACATATATATTGTTTTAACCCAAATATTGAGGTCATTCAATATTATTTCATAAATCACTAATCTATAGTTAATCGTATTAGAAAAGTGGATGTAGGTATTTGGATATATCACTGCCCTATAAAGAAAAATAAAAAAAATCCAGAAAATGATTTTAGGGTTTAACTTTTCACTGTACCCCACATTTATCTTCTTCTTCCAAACTTTTCTCTTTTGTTCATTTTGTAATAAGAAATTGGATAATATAATTTGGAAGATCGGATAAAAAAATTGAGAGATATGATGTGAACTGAAACAAGAAATTTGATTAATTCTTTTGAAGGGTCTAGTTGTCAGATTTCAGAATTTGATGTACAGTTCCAAAATTAGGAAAAACATATCATATTCATAAATTTGGTGATCACACACAACTTTACATTAGATTTCAAAATTTAATATATAAAAATTCAAAATCTGATGAAAAAAAAAAAGCCCTTCGTTAAATTTCGAAATTTATTAAAAAACCAGAATCTTAAAGTTAATTTTAGAATGTGAAAAAGAAATGGTTGGAGATACAGAAAAAAAAAACCAATAATTTGATCAGTAGCAATAAATAATTGAGAGTTGCTCCCTCCACCACCACCAACCGCTCCCTGCACCTCCCCATACCTTATTTGCCCTTCTATAAAACGGATGTCAACATCCGTTTCACCTTCAACGGATGTTGACATCCGTAACATCCATTTACATATTTTATATTTTAGTTTATTATTTTTATTTAAAAAAAAAAAAAACTTCAACGGATGTGGTCACATCCGTTAACGGATGTGCCACATCCGTTTAATAGATTTTTAAAAAGTTTTTTATTTATTATTTAAATAATAATATATAAATTAAAATAATTATTATTATTTTATTAAATAAAATAAAATTAATTTACAAATAATTAAATAATAATTTTTTAAAAATTAAATAATATTTATATATTAATTTAAAATATAAAAAATTAAAAAAATAAAAACTAAAAAACAAAAAAAGCAACGGATGTCGCCACATCCGTTAACGGATGTGGCGCATCCGTTTTAATATATTTATAACAAATTTTTTAATTATTATTTAAATAATAATACATAAATTAAAAGTAATAATAATTATTTTATTAAATAAAATAAAATTAATTTATAAATAATTAAGTAATAATTTTAAAATAATTAAATTATATTTATATATTAATTTAAAACAAAAAAAATAAAAAAACTAACTAGAAAAAAAAAAGCAACGGATGTGCACATCCGTTAACGGATGTGGCGACATCCGGCCTTTTAATGTTTATTTTATAGATTTTTTTAATTATTATATTTTAAATATAATATAATATTAAATTTTAAAAATATTATTTATATTTAAATAACATGTAATATTTAATTTAATAAATAATAATTAATAATTTTAAAATATTATAATATTTATATATAATTAAAACAAAATAAATAAAAAACTAAAAATTAAAAAACCAAAAGACAGGCAACGGATGTCGCCACATCCGTTAACGGATGTAACACGTCCGTGGAAGAATTTTTTCTTCAAACGGATGTTGACATCCGTTGAAGAAAAGAGGTGAGGGTGTAGGATATTTTAAAATATAAAGGATAATTTTGGAATTTTAAAAAAATGTGGTGGTGCAGGGAGCAAAGTGGGGTGGTGTAGGGAGTAAAACCCTAAATAATTAGTGAAGCGAGGCCCACCGTACAGAAATTTTGGGCTTGTGTGCAATTCATTGTTGAGAGTTGCCTCCCCCGGGGGGGGGGACCA